GAAAGCTGAAACTGGATCCTCTCCTTACTCCTTATATGAAAATTAATTCAGATGGATTAGAGACTTAAATGTTAGACCTAAAACCATAAAAACCCTAGAAGAAAACCTAGGTAATACCATTCAGAACATAAGCATGGGCAAGGACTTCATGTCTAAAACACCAAAAGCAACAGCAACAAAAGCCAAAATTGACAAATGGGATCTAATCAAACTAAAGAGCTTCTGCACAGCAAAAGAAACTACCATCAGAGTGAACAGGCAACCTACAAAATGGGAGAAAATTTTTGCAATCTACTCATCTGACAAAGGGCTAATATCCAGAACCTATAAAGAACTCAATCAAATTTACAAGAAAAAAACAAACAACCCAATCAAAAAGTGGGCAAATGATATGAACAGACACTTCTCAAAAGAAGACATTCATACAGCCAACAAACACATGAAAAAATGCTCATCATCACTCACCATCAGAGAAATGCAAATCAAAACCACAATGAGATACCATCTCACACCAGTTAGAATGGCAATCACTAAAAAATTAGGAAACAACAGGTGCTGGAGAGGATGTGGAGAAATAGGAACAATTTTACACTGTTGGTGGGACTGTTCAACCATTGTGGAAAACAGTGTGGCGATTCCTCAAGGATCTAGAACTAGAAATACCATTTGACCCAGTCATCCCATTACTGGGGATATACCCAAAGGATTATAAGTCATGCTGCTATAAAGACACATGCACACGTATGTTTACTGCAGCACTATTCATAATAGCAAAGATTTGGAATCAACCCAAATGTCCATCAGTGACAGACTGGATTAAGAAAATGCGGCACGTATACACCATGGAATACTATGCAGCCATAAAAAAGGATGAGTTTGTGTCCTTTGTAGGGACACATCTTCTCTCCTGCCCCAGCAGTTTCCTCTGCTCACTCTCATCACCTTTCCTGCTCCTAGGCTTGCCTGGTCATGTGTCCTTCACTATGCTCTGAGTCTCCCTCTTTCCAAGCCACCTCCACTCTACTTGACACACTCTCCCTTAAGATACCAAAGTACACAAGCTCAAGTCCCTGCACCTCACCTTTACTCCCAGACGTGGAAGGAAGATGACATGAAGACCCAAACGCCACTTGGCAAGAGATCTGGGGTGTGCAGAGGGGCAGGTCTGAGGTTGTGGAAGCTCCAGGGGCTCCCTGCTGGAAGCTGCATTGAAGCTGGCTATTGAATGTGACTCTGAGCTGAGATCTCTTCTTGAAGCTCCAGACCAGGAGCCAGCTGCCAGTTGGAGCCCTCCATTTGGTGCCTCAGAGGAACCTTGCACTCTGTAGGTCTAACTCCGAACCCAGAAAATCCCCCCATCTCAGCCCTGTCTCTTAGGGAAAGCACCGCCTCAGACCCAGTTCTGCACCAAACCCACATTTGAGTCATGGGGCTCCTGCCCTGCACTGTGAGCACTCTGGATAAGCCAGTGCCGAGGGGGAAAGAGCTCTAAATGCCAAGCCAAAACATGAGTTTCAACTCCACCTCCAGCTCTGAGAGCTGTGGGTAGGGAAAGGCCCTAGTCCAGTGTGCTGTAGAAAGACCAGTCTGCCACTGCATGGCACATGGATGGCAGGGGCAGAATGTGGGTGGAGAGAACAGAAGGTGGGCAGGGCGGAGGAGGCAGGGACATGGCTGTAGCCATGGAGATGCGAGGACAGACAGGACTTGGTGGCCACTTGGATGAACCAAGGGAGGGGTCCGGAAGAGACACCCAGTTTTGTATCAGATGTATAGAGCATGGGGTGCTATTCATTGATCGAGAGAGGAGGAGGAAGAAGAGGTATGGCATGGGAAGAGATAGCTGAGCTCTGTCATGAATGTCATTTGAAGTCCCCACAGAGAGCCAGACCCGCCAGCGCCTTCGCTGCTTCAGCCGGCCCTCAGGGTGGCTGTGCTCCCTGGCCCTCTCGGCTCCCGCTTCGTAGCTGTCAGCTGCAGTGGGAGACAGTTGCACAAGGGCCCAGCATCTCTGTGTGTTTTCCCAGGGGACTGCTGCATGGCCCATGCCGAGCAGAAGCTGATGGATGACCTTCTGAACAAGACCCGTTACAACTACCTGATCCGCCCAGCCACCAGCTCATCACAGCTCGTCTCCATCGAGACGGAGCTCTCCCTGGCCCAGTGCAGCAGCGTGGTAGGTGCAGAGGGAACCTGTGGCTCAGGCTCAGGTGAAGAGGCAACTCATGCCCAAGCCCCAAGCAATCAATATCCAGAGGAATGAAATGACTAGAGTTGACTTAGACTCATCAATACAGGGCGGGGAGGCCGGAGGAGAGTGCATGAGGTTTATAGGTGTCCAATATTTAATGAGGTCATGGTTTTGTCAACAAGAAAGAAATGAGGGTGGGAGCGGGATCACCACTGGCTAGGCAACCAATGGGCCTGCATAAACTCTGCTCTGCTGAGTCTCCAGCACAACCATAAGCTCCTCCTCCTCATCCTCCCAGCCCTGCCCTACTCTCTCCCCCAGCTTGCTCAGCAGGTGACCTTACAGGCTCCCTACTTATTGGGGGAAATACAAAACCACACTTGGGGAACTGACGGGTACAGAGGCCCAGGTGTAGTGGCGGGACCACAGGCAGTGCAGCACCTACTGAGCCAGGTGGGTAAGGGTGTGGAGAGTGGGCATGGCCACTGCAGGCATGGAAAGGAGGTGCAGATACGGAAAGGAGGCGCAGATACGGAAAGGAGGCGCAGATACGGAAAGGAGGCGCAGATATGGAAAGGAGGCGCAGATATGGAAAGGAGCTGACGGAAGGAGCCGTGGCCCACTGTACACTAACACAATGTCCCCACCCACAGGGTTAGAATCCCCCTGGACGCAGCTCTGAGAGGAGCAGTCACAAGTGAAGAGTGCCAGGTGCTTGTTCCTGCAGGGGGAAGGAGGTCACCAAGGGGGCTGACCCTCCTCTGGCCAGGTGGCTGCCTTCGGACACACCAGCCTCTCTCTCTAGCATGGTGGCCCGCACACACCCAGCCTGTCAAACCTACAGACCCCAAGAAGGCTTTGGCCAAATTAATGAACAGCTCCGTCTCCCAGGAGGAAGCACAGCTGAAGGATGTGGAAGGCAGTAGAGCTGTGTGTGCTCCACCCCCTCTCTCCCAGTCGGACCGGAAAGAAGCGGGCTTTCAGCCAGGCTCACCCAGGCTGGGGTCTGAGTGTCACTGTCCAGCTGTTGGCTTCTTGCTGAATGGGTGAGCCCAGCTGCTCCTGTGCAGATGCCACTCTAGTGAGGGTGAACAAGCAGGCGAGTTCCATTTCTGAAAGCGTGGGTATACAGTAAATATTAGGCTGTGGGCTGCTGGGCCAGGAAAGGGTGTTTATTTTCAGGGTTTATTTATCTATTGACTTGATGAGGGACGGTGGTAGGTACAACCAGTTTAAAGATGGAATTTTGAGAGAGCAGGCAGGAATTTAGCGCTGGGGAAAGCAAGCAGGCTTGTCAAAGCAGTTGTTTTGGGGAGGCCAGAATCCTGTACCAATGTCCTCAGCACGTTCATCAGCTGCTGGGGAGTGCCAGATAGGATTAAGCACAGAACTTTCTGGATGATAGAAATGTTCTGTATCTTCAAAGGAGGTGGGTTACATGGGTAATGCATTTGTTAAAACTGATCAAAATGTAAACCAGATCTGTGCATTTCACTGAATATAAATTATGCCTCAAATTAAAAACATGTTTTAAAAGACAGATGGGCCGGATGCAGTGGCTCACGCCTGTAATCCCAGCACTTTGGGAGCTGAAGCAGGCAGATCACTTGAGTTAGGAGCTCGAGACCAGCCTGGAAAACATGGTGAAATCCTGTCTCTATTAAAAATATAAAAATTAGCCAGGTATGGTGGCACACGCCTGTAATCTCAGCTACTCAGGAGGCTGAGGCAGGAGAATTGCTTGAACCTAGGAGGCGGAGGTTTCAGTGAGCAGAGATCATGCCACTGCACTACAGCCTGGGTGACAGAGCGAGAATCCATCAAAAAAAAAAAAAAAAAAAAACACAGATGGAGGTTTCAACTTTCACTAAAGGCAGAGCAGCTTTTTACAGATTAGCCTCCCCCACAAGAGCAGTTAGAAAAACTGGACAAAAATGTGCCCCAGCAAAAACAATTGTTGAAGGTAATTGGAGACCTTAGCCAGGACTTGCGTGACCAGTCCTAGAGGTGACCCTGAGTCTGTAGTGCTTTCCCACATTTGGTGATTGGTAAACAGTAGAGGACTAAGAGGCTAAGAAAGTGAGTATGAAGTTGTAGTTAACAGGCTGGAAAGCCTAGCTGAATGTTTGGCACTCTCACAGGCTGAAATGACCTAATGAGAATTTGGGTCCCAGTAAGGAGATGGGACCCTGGAAGGGCCACCCCTAGGAGTCCAAGTGAATACAAATAGACCACCCATCACAAAAACTAAAACCTTGAACCAGCTTAGTCCCAACTAGATGAAGGTGATCTGCCCTTGCTCCAATTGTGTGCCATAAAGTCAAAGTCAAAACTCTCTGGAGGCAGGTAAAGTTTACTAGGGAATGCCATAAGACAAGATAGGACTAAATGAGAAAGACCAAGAAAAAAACCAATAGAAACATACATGTAAGGAGGAAACTTTTTTTTTTTTTTTTTTTTTTTTGGAAACGGAGTCTCGCTCTGTCACCCAGGTTTGAGTGCAGTGGCACGATCTCAGCTCATTGCAACCTCTGCCTCCCAGGTTCAAGCGATTCTCCTGCCTCAGCCTCCCAAGTAGCTGGGATTACAGGCATGCGCCACCACACCTGGCTAATTTTTGTATTGGCCAGGCTGGTCTTGAACCCCTGACCTTCAGGTGATCCATTCGCCTCCGCCTCCCAAATTGCTGGGATTACAGGCGTGAGCCCCTGTGCCTGGCCAGTATTTTGCCACAATTTAAAATAAATACTTTTTTTTTTTTTCAGGTTTGTGCTCAGACTATATTCTAAACAGTCACATGGCAGCTTACTCTTCTCCAGGCCTTGCTGCCGGCTTTTTGATGTTTATGATCTTTGCCTTCTTGTGGTCTCCTCGGTAGAAGAACGGCATGCAGGGCTTGCTGTAAAGATCTTTGGAGGGAGAAAGGCAGGGCACTGAGCACCGTGCAAGCCCTCCCTTGCTCCTACCTGCCCATCTCACCCAAAGGCTCTACTCACCACCCTGCTTGTCGGCAGCTCCAAGCTCCTGAGGGCCTGGGGTCCCTGGTGCGGACTCATCAGCAGGGTTCTGGGCAGCTGCCCGCAATCCGCCATGCCCCTGGTTACGGTCACCCACAAGCGGAAACACCAGCTCCACCTGGAGGGAAAGGTGGTCTGTTGCCACGCCCGTGCCCACACCCACCTCCACCCCCACCCCCGCAGAGGTGTGACATGTCTTAGAGGGTCCGGAGAAATCAGAAGGTGGGAAACCAAGAGCATAAGGGGGTCTGGGAGGGACCGCCAAGGCAGGCAGCAAAGGAGGGGCAGGAAGAGGCGGGCTCACCATGGCCTCCTGGCTCTTCAGTTCCTCTGGGATGCTTGGCCTGGGCCGAGATGCCTCCTCCTCCTCCACCTCCTCCCTGTCCAATCCATCTCCTGTGGGGGGTTGCCAGAGGGCTTCTCAGACAACCCAACAAGGGAGGTAACAGTGGGCCCACCGCTGCCCCCACCCTCACTGTGTAACCCCGGGCCAGCCCCTCCCTAGAGGGAAATCAGCAGCTGTTCTTTATTTTTTTTGAAGAGACGTCTCCCTGTGTTGCCCAGGTGCAGTCCCACTACCAATCAACACGGGAGTTCTGACAGGCTCCATTTCCGACCTGGGCCAGTTCACCCATTCAGAGGCCACCCTGGTGGTCCCCACTCCCAGGAGGTCACCATATCTATGCTGAATTTAGTGCGGATACCCGGTCGGCATAATGACCAACTGTTCTAAAGAGTCAGTCCTACGCTCCTAACAGTCCCCCCTTCTTCCTGGGGCTCATCTCCTCTTCCTCTGAGCGGCCTCCCATACCTTCCCCAGCGAGAGCCATGAGGCTCAACTGGGCCTGCAGCTGCTGGTTCTGCTGGATGGCAGCTTCCAGGTGTTCCTAAGAGGCCAGGAAAGAGAGTGAGAAGGCACAGACGTTGCCAGGTCGTCGCCCTCGGGGCCCCGCCCTCATCAACTCCCTCAACTGGGTCTCTTGCAACTATTGGTGGGCCATCTCAGCCACCACTTTGCCCTGAGCTTCCTGCTGCTGCAGCTGGGCAGTGCCTCCTTCTTAGAGGCCAGCTGCTGATAGGTGGCCACGTACTGCTGCAGGGGACCCAGGTAATGGTCTCGCTGCTGCTGCAGACTCTGAGCCTCTTGGCTCTTCAGCTCTACCTGCAGGATAGATGTCAGGGTAGCTAGTGGCTGGCTTCCAGATTCTAGGCCCATAAACAGGGTAGCGAGGGCACTGTGGGACTCTGTCGCCTGCCCAGGTCCCTGGCCCCTGGCCCCTTCCTCCAGGCCTAAGTGACTGCCTCCCTTGCCTAGAGGCCATGCCTCCCTCCCCAGCCTCAAATCTCACACCCTACCTCCCACCATTCAAACTGTAGGCCACATACTGGTGGAAAAGCAGAGGGAGCCAACCACCATCTGCTAATTTGTGGTGAGATCGTTCTGTATGATCTCCATGGTTTGCACACGCCTCCACCTGCTCCCCCCAGAGCTCGGCCTTCCGCCCCAGCTCCCCCAGCCTCTCCTCCAGCTCCTGCAGCTTCACCTCCTGCTCCTGCATCTTCTCCTCCTGCTCCTGCAGCCTCACTTCCTGCTCCCACATCTTCTCCTGCCTCTGCATCTTTTCCTCCTGTTCCTGAATCTTCTCCTCCTGCTCCCACATCTCCTCCTCCTGCTCCCGCATCTGCTCCTCCTGCTCCCGCATCTTCTCCTCCTGCTCCCACAGCTTCTCCTCCTGCTCCCACATCTTCTCCTCCTGCTCCCACATCTTCTCCTCCTGCCTCTGCATCTTTTCCTCCTGTTCCCGAATCTTCTCCTCCTGCTCCCGCATCTTCTCCTCCTGCTTCCACAGCTTCTCCTCCTGCTCCCACAGCTTCTCCTCCTGCCTCCACATCTTCTCCTCCTGCTCCTGCATCTTCTCCTCCTGCTCCCGCATCTTCTCTTCCTGCCTCCATATCTTCTCCTCCTGCTCCTTCTTCTCCTGCTCCTGCATCATCTCCTCCTGCTCCCACAGCTTCTCCTCCTGCCTCCACATCTTCTCCTGCTCCCGCATCTTCTCCTCCTGCTCATGCATCTTCTCTTCCTGCCTCCACATCTTCTCCTCCTGCTCCCGCATCTTCTCCTCCTGCTCATGCATCTTCTCTTCCTGCCTCCACAACTTCTCCTCCTGCTCCCGCATCTTCTCCTCCTGCTCCCGCATCTTCTCCTCCTGCTCCTGCATCTTCTCCTCCTGCCTCCACATCTTCTCCTGCTCCCGTATTTTCTCCTCCTGCTCGTGCATGTTCTCCTCCTGCTCCCGTATCTTCTCCTCCTGCTTCCACAGCTTCTCCTCCTGCTCCCGCAGCTTCTCCTCCTGCTCTCGCATCTTCTCCTCCTGCTCTCGCATCTTCTCCTGCTCCTGTATCTTCTCCTCCTGCTCCCGTATCTTCTCCTCCTGCTCCCGCATCTTCTCCTCCTGCTCCCGCATCTTCTCCTCCTGCTCCCGCATCTTCTCCTGCTCCCGTATCTTCTCCTCCTGCTCCCGTATCTTCTCCTCCTGCTCCCGCATCTTCTCCTCCTGCTCCCGCATCTTCTCCTCCTGCTCCCGCATCTTCTCCTCCTGCTCCCGTATCTTCTCCTCCTGCTCATGCATCTTCTCTTCCTGCCTCCACATCTTCTCCTCCTGCTCTCGCATCTTCTCCTCCTGCTCCCGCATCTTCTCCTCCTGCCTCCACATCTTCTCCTCCTGCTCCCGTATTTTCTCCTCCTGCTCATGTATCTTCTCCTCCTGCCTCCACATCTTCTCCTCCTGCTCCCGCATCTTCTCCTCCTGCTCCCGCATCTTCTCCTCCTGCCTCCATATCTTCTCCTGCTCCTTCTTCTCCTGCTCCCGCATCATCTCCTCCTGCTCCTGCATCATCTCCTCCTGCTCCCACATCATCTCCTCCTGCTCCCACAGCTTCTCCTCCTGCCTCCACATCTTCTCCTGCTTCCATATCTTCTCCTCCTGCTCATGCATCTTCTCTTCCTGCCTCCACATCTTCTCCTCCTGCTCCCGTATTTTCTCCTCCTGCTCCCGTATCTTCTCCTCCTGCTCCCGCATCTTCTCCTCCTGCTCCCGCATCTTCTCCTCCTGCTCCCACATCTTCTCCTCCTGCCTCCACAACTTCTCCTGCTCCCGTATCTTCTCCTCCTGCTCATGCATCTTCTCTTCCTGCCTCCACATCTTCTCCTCCTGCTCCCGTATCTTTTCCTCCTGCTCATGCATCTTCTCTTCCTGCCTCCACAACTTCTCCTCCTGCTCCCGTATCTTCTCCTCCTGCTCATGCATCTTCTCTTCCTGCCTCCACATCTTCTCCTCCTGCTCCCGCATCTTCTCCTCCTGCTCCCGCATCTTCTCCTCCTGCTCCCACAGCTTCTCCTCCTGCCTCCACAACTTCTCCTCCTGTTGCTGGTTCATGTGGTTCCACAACTCGTTCTCTTCCACCCGGGCTTGGAGCTTTGCTGCCACACTCTGCAGCTCCTTACCCAGGTGGTCAGCATCCGCCTGCAGCTGCTGCTGGAACAGTGAAAGTGTTGGTTTGAACCTCAGAAGGAAAAAGACTCATGAGCTAGCCATATAAATGTAATCTATAAAATAATAGTTTTCATCCATAATCCTTTAAAAAAATTTTTTTAAGCCCTAACTCTGAGATTCTGATATCCCAGGCAGGGCCCCAATTTGTATATATTTTTAGCACACTCTAGAGGATTCTATGCAGGACCAGAACAAGGACCCAAATTTTTGAGCTCCTGGCTGGACCTCCCCATAACCTGCATGATCCCTAGACCAAGGTCCCAGCCGGATGGGGCTCCCACAACCCCCGGGGCTGCAGCCACTCGCCTGTGGCAGTAGGAGCTTGGCCCTCTCCAGCTTCCTTTTTAGCTCCTTTATGTTGAGCTGGATCTCAGACTTTTCAGATTCTACAAGTCGAAGTTTTTCTAGCAGTTCGGCATTTTTCTCCTTCAGCTCCTCATTGGTTATGCTATGGCCAGAGGCAGTAGAGAAAGGAATGAATGAAGAACAGAAAGGACCACTTTGGTGATCAACCCTCTACTTTTGCCCACAACCACAGAACCGTGGCATTGGAAGGGACCCCAGGAATTAAAAGTCCCAGGTGGCAGGCCAGAGAGAAGACATGAGTTGCCTGAGGCTACCCATGAGTCAGTGGCACAGCTGGCACTAGAGCTTCCCTGCACACACATGAAAACCTGCATGAGCTTCTCACCATGCTCACCTGTACCCCCCACCTCCCAGCACACCACCCACGCTAAGGGCCTCCAGACCTCCCATCCCACCTTCCCCCATCCTATTGTTTCTGTACAGCTCCAAACTCAGGGCGTCCCTCTCCTTTGTTAACTCCTCGATGTACTGCAAATAGAGACAGGTGAAGTCAGGACACAGCAGGCAGAGGAGCAGCTGGCCAACCAGGAACAACAGCTCTCATGACTACTCCACAGTAACACTTCCTCACTCCCAATCACACCTGACATGTTCTCAAGGCATTTCCAAGCCCATGGTCTCATTTGTTTTTCTTTGTTTTGTTTCTTTCTTTTCTGTTTTGTTTTTTTGTTTTTTGTTTTTTGAGGCAGAGTTTCACTCTTGTTGCCCTGGCTGGAGTGCCATGGGCCAATCTCGGCTCACCACACCCTCTGCCTCCCGGGTTCAAGTGATTCTCCTGCCTCAGCCTCCCAAGTAGCTGGGATTACAGTTATGTGCCACCACACCCAGCTAATTCTGTATTTTTAGTAGAGATGGGGTTTCTCCATATTGGTCAGTCTAGTCTTGAACTCCTGACCTCAGGTGATACGCACGCCTCGCCCTCCCAAAGTGCTGGTATTACAGGCGTGAGTCAGAGCACTGGCCCTCATTTGTTTTTCAAAGAACTCAGTAAAGGTGGAAGAGACAGGGAAAGAGATTGAATTTATAGCTGGCTAACGGGGGCCCAGAGAGATCAGATAATATTGCTATTGTTATTACTGTTATTGCTACCACTGTTGGAACCTTTACTGACTGCTTCACCAGGCACTGCGCTAACAGTCCCATTTAATCCTCACAACCTCCATAGGTGACGGTTACCATTATTACCTCTATTGTGTAGATGAAAAACATGGGGTATTAAAGGTTAAGTGCTTGCCTACGATCACTTAGAGCTGGGATTACAACACCCAGGTATATCTGATTCTCTAAGCCCATTCTTTCACCGAGGGTAGGGGCACAGACAAGGAGGAGGAAATTAATCTTTTATTGACTTTTTAAAAGGATGATACGTTCACATAGTCCAAAACTCAGAAAGTACAGAAGGGAAACATCTCCCCCACAACACTGTTCCTCTCTCCTGAGTTTTTTATGAATCCTTACAAACATGTTTTATATATATCACCATAATACATACACACACACATATGCGTGCTCCCTCTCTCAACACAGATAATAACATACTCAAGATACTCTTCCGTACCTTTATGGTACAAGTACCCTAACCACCACTTAGACCACCACTTGGGGCCAAGGCCACAGCCAAGTATGGGCACGGCAGGCACTTGGCCTCCGAGCTCTCTGTCCAGTGCTCGCTCCCCACAGTACCCCCCAACTCACCCACAGCAGCCGACTCAGCCCCCGTCTTCCTCTAACAACCACACACAAAAGCAGCAAGAAATGGCCATGCTACCTTCTGGGCAGGACACTCCATCCTACAGAAGGGACCTTTAGGCTCACTCCTCCATCTGCGAAGCCAGGGTCCCAGGGGACGGGGCAGGTGGTTGGACTCACCCTGTCCGCCGCCTTCTTCTGGGTAATGACAGCAAAGAGAGAGACCGCTCTAACTCTCCTGCAAACTTCCATGAATCATGCAGGCGGCTGACCAGATCCCTGGACTCTCCTGGAATGGGAGACATTCAGATGTGGCCCAAAGGACTCCCCCTAAAGGCCTGTCAAAGTGCCAGGTTGAAGGATGATGGGGTGCCAGATTCCCACCTTCCAACTGCTGGGCAGCATGCTGGCTGTAATAGAGTACCGTCTGAAGCTCACTTTTCTGACATGAAAGGATTCGTATGGTATGAACCTGGGCCTTTGGGAGAAAAGACAAGCAAGTGCTGAAAGAGAAGCAAAGAAACCTTCTCCGGAAGACAGGAGGGAACTTCACACCCTCCACTCACCTCTAGCTCCCTCCTTAGGGCTTGCTGATACTGCGGGCTTGCCTTCTTTTTCTATAGAAAGAGGAAGGCAGAGCTCTTCCTAGGGGGAGACAGAGATGGCACAGCAAGAGACATGCCCCCAGAATGGCACCACTGCCCCAGGACAGGCCCACCCATGGGACCAGGTTATCAGGGATCCTGTGGGGATGGGGTGGAATCTGGGGGGTGAGCCTTCTTCCTCAGGCTGGGAGTGGGCGGGATGAGACTGGGGCCTCTACATCTGAGTGCCCCCCCAAACCCAGCAGTCATGTCATGAGCAAACAAAGAAATTACGTTACTTCTTCCAGCTGAGCTCGGTTCTGTTGTCTCTGTCGGGAGAGTCAAAGGAAGGTGACTGAGGGTGGCCCCCTCGACTCTATTCCCCAGGCCAGGAAGCGGTAGGCAGGGGCCAGGAATGGATTTTGAAAGCGAAGTTCTCAGACCCAATGGGAACACAAACTGGTAAACTCTCCTCAACTCCCAAAGAAAAAGGATTTGGGTCTTTGTTGGTTTTTGCCCACAGCCACAGAACTGAAAGTCTGAAACCAGATTCTCTCTGAAACCAAACCAGTAACATAAACCTTCAGAGATGGAGTGTGAGAAAAGCCCACCCTTCTGCCAGCTTGTGATTTAGAAAGGTGCAATCATTCAGCAAACACTGACTGAGCACATACCGACCAGGGATGGTTCTTCACAGCAAGGATATACGACGGAAAAGGCAGACAGGAGCCCTCGGCCCTGAGGTTTCCATTCTAGTGGGCCTTCAACTCTCAGACTCTCAGAGCTAACAGAAACCTCTGATACTCTCTAACTACTTCAGGAAATGCAAGCCCAAGAAGGAGAGTTTATAGCAGGCCCTGGACTAGGGATTAACATAAAAACAACAATGACAAATCTCATTTAAAGTTCACAAATGTAAGTAAAACAATACCACTCCTATTTTACAGAAGTGAAAAGAGAGGCCCAAAGGGCTCAAGCAATTTGCCCTAAATCATATCCCCAGCAGATGGAGAGGTAAGATTCAAACCCAGAATTCTTAAGCAGTGCCTGGGAGTTCTTCCACAATCTTAACAATTACCCTCCACCACCCGTTGGGCCCTCTGTCCCTAGGAGCCTGGCCAGCCAAGACCCACATCCTCAGGTGAGTGGCAACCGCCAGAAGTGGTTGTCTCAGGGTTAGTGCCATTATTTATTTTCTTCTTTTTGGTGTCAGTTGCTCCTTTACCAACACTAGGGTTGGTCTGGGGATGACAGTCTCTCAACTGCGTGAAGGAAGAGCAGTGATACTCATGAGCACTACAAGCTCCTACAGTCACATCCGGCTTTACGGTTTATACAAAATACTATTATAGAGCATCTGATTTAATGCCACCAACAACTGTAGAAAGTGTTGTCACAATCACTTAGTGACAGAGGGATTGATACCACGGCTGAAGAAAAGGCAATGATGGAACTTAAACCCAGTCTTCTGACTCTGAGTTCCAGGATTTTGCCACAAATCAGCAACTGCCAGGGACCAAAACCAGAGGCAGAGGTTGAAAGGCAAATATTAAACAGGCAGGAACTGTACATTGTGTGATTTAGAGTCCTATATCCTCACACGTCTGTTAGTGTGAAGAAGTGCACTAAAACCTCTCAAGCTTTTACATCAATGTATCCTCATGGCAGAAGACAGCCTTTCTGTTAAATCTGAGAATTTAACAGAAAGAGGACAACCCAACCCTCATTTCAGGGAGAAGTCTTGTATACTCATAGATCTATGTGACTGTCATCCCTAAGTACATTAATGTTTTGTCTCTCAATAGAATCAAGGGAAACTGATGCTTCAGAAAGATGCCCCATATTTATCCTGTGACACTCAAAGTGCCCCAGGTTGAGATGAGATGAGGAAGATTCAAGCTGTCAAGTTCAGTTTCCCAAGAACTGTTCCACAGAAGATAAGCAGATCTCACTCTAGAAACTACTGACTGAGGGGCCCTCTGGTCCCAGAACAATGGAGAATTCAAATCTGAGGTGGAGAACTCAGAAACAATGTTAAAGTTCCTCCGGAGAGTAGAAGCCTGGGAGAAAACCAAACCAAACCCATTCTCCCATTGCCACCCAGAGACACTGTCAACGTGTTGCGCTCATGGGGGAGGTGTAGGCTTTTCACACTGTCAATGTGTGTGTTAAGGAAGTAAGGCAGCCTGAAACCTCTCTCTCCTAGGTCCCACAGTCCCCATTCCCCTTCCAGCTGGAAATCTGTGCTGCAACCAGAGGAACTAGAAAGGACAAGAACACTTAGGGTACTGGGTCCTAAGACCAAAGGCCAGTCTGGTGGCAGTAATGACAGTTTCTAGAGGGACTGTGACATCACTACATTCCACTCCTTGGTGGAGTGGCCGGGGGGACACAAGAGTGCAATGTCCAAGTTGCCACTTTGAGATTGGGGAAGGGGTCACAGGATTGGGACCCAGGTCCTTGGAGGTGCGAGCCCATAGAGCCCATGGAGGTCAGGCTTGGGGCAGTGGGAGGTGAGGGCCAAGTGTGGAGCAGGGAGCCCCAGGAGTCACCTGCCCAAAGTCACCCTGGGGCAACTGGTGGCAGGTTCTGGGGCACCCAGGTCCTTGGAGACGTGAGCCCAAAGAGCCTAGGGTGCTCGGGTTTGGGGTAGCAGGAGATAAGGGTGGAGTACGGAGTGGGAAACTCCAGGAGTCACCAGCTCAAAGTCACCCTGGGGTGACTGGCAAGGGCAGGGGCAGGACTCATGAGGGGGGTGGGCTGGCTGACAAGATTTTGGTTTGGTGAGTCCAGAGGCACTGGGGGGCCCAGCCCAGTGTGCTTCAGGAGTGGCACGGACTCTGGCAGCAGTTTGGCTGTCAGAGGGGGCCTAGGGCTGGGGTTGGGGTGCTGCAACCTGGTGCATTTTACCTTTTCCTTGGCCTCAGCCAATTCGCCCTTTCGGGTTTCTTTGGACATCACCGGACGGGTAGGAAGGTAGGGTTGGGGTCACATCAGCACAATCCAGGCGAGGACAACTATACACCTCCAGTCACCTATACGTAGCTGTGTGACTGAGCCAGAGGAGGTGTAACCAGGGCTGCACTAGAATGCAGAATAGGGGTGTGGCCTTAATGCTTCAAGCCCATTGGTCGATGAGAAAGATGAAAGGGAAAGGAGGCGTGGCCAGACAGCAGCACATCATGAAGGACCTGTGATGTCACAGGGAAAGCCACCCATGCAACTGCTGTCCCCGCCCACTCCCGGAGAGGGGCGGGGCTGGCTTTCACTTTAAAAACTTTAAAACTTTATTACCTCAATTGAGGTACGAATCCTATTAAAATGGAAATTTTATAGTGTGCTTGATGATTGATAAAGCAGACTATATTATCCAACATTCCAATAAGATAAAATAATCACAATGATTTCTCTTTTTTGGAAAAACTTTCTCTGATTCTTCTACATTATTGTTAAGTTAAAAAAAAAAAAAAAAAGAAACATGTCTAATATCTTTAAAAACACAAAGCTTTTGAGCCAGGCATGGTGGCTCATGCCTGTAATCCCAGCACTTTGGGAGGCTGGGATGGTCTTACCAGAGTTCAGGAGTTCAAGACCAGCCTGGCCAACATGATGAAACCCTGTCTCTACTAAAAATACAAAACTAGCTGGGCATGGTAGCAGGTGCCTGTAATCCCAGCTACTTGGGAAGTTGAGGCAGGAGAATCCCTTGAACTTGGGAGAAGGAGGTTGCAGTGTGCCAAAATCGTGCCACTGCACTTCAACCTGGGCTACAGAACGAGACTCTGTCTCTAAGTACATACATACATACATACATATATACATACATACACACACACACACACACACACACACACACACAGAGCTTTCCATTTAATAAGCACTCAAAGTTCTTTATAAGTGTAAAACAAATACAGGACCCTTCTAAAGTAAGGCTAAATGCTAAGGAATGGGAGAGAGAGAAAGGACATAAATAACTCCTACTCTCATGAGGTTAATCACTAAATCCTATTTTTCTAGAATCACCCGGCCTCTCTAAGCCCTGCAAATGAAACTGAATTTCTCACTCAACACTTGGCTATGACTTGCAATGATGAAAACCAAGAATTGTGTTATGTCACTGTGTATTGCTTATTGCCTGGGATCAAGGGTTGACTTTTTCATGATTTGCTCCATTACCTGTGTGCTTCTTATCCCAGACCAAATGAAGCTTTTTTCTACAGTTCTATAATTTACAGTTAGTATATAAGAGTGGTTCTCAAAAATATAGTCTCTGGACCAGGAGCACCTGGGAACTTCTTATAAATTACAACCCTAGACCTGGTGAATCAGAAACTCTGGAGTAGGGCCCAGCAATCTGTGTTGCAATAAGCCCTCCAGGTGTTCAGGAACCTCTGGCATGCAGCAGGTAGAAAAATGTGTTTCCTTCTGTAGGTCCAAAGCCAAGAATACTATATGTTCTGTCTCGATATGAAACAATGACATGCAATTAAAAGACATAAATCTCCTTCCTACTTCCACCCTCCAGCCAATGTGTTTTATTTTTATGAATTCAACAAGAAAACGAGTAGCAATCAGAGATTTCATCTAAAAAGTATATTTACAGGCATCAGTTCTCATTCATCCTGATCTCATCCAGTATCATTTATATCCTCTTACATCTAAAGTTTTAGAAAAGGATCTTCACAATGTAAGACTCAGGCACACTAGTAGTTCTATGATAAAAGACCAAGTAGATCTGAATGTCTAAACTTACTAGAGAAGAAAAGTGGAATCACTGGCTATATTTTCAAACTGCATTCAATAGGAAATTAAAGTTTTGAATTTTTTTCACCTTCATCCTTCCAAGTTAATAGAATTAAACCAGAATATTCCATTCTTCCAAAGCCTCTAGCCAGGCAAAGTTTTACTGTATTACTTCTTGCTTTTCAATGGATAAAAAGTAGAGTCCTGGTAGGCACATTTTGTATACCTGCGAAGATGCAGAACTAAACAGTTCCCTCTGTTCGATATTGAAACAAAAGTCCTGTGAACCTCAGATGGTGAGTGTAATACTTCAGCACTAGCACGAAAGCCTCAAATATAAACAGATACCAAGAACGCCACTAGCAAACAAAAGTAAGCTCTTGGCCGGGAGCAGTAGTTCACGCCTGCACTCCCAGAATATTGGCAAGCCAAGGTGGGGTAAGTCCGGAGTTCAAGATCAGCCTGGGCAGCATAGCAAATTCACACCTCTACAAAAAAAATTTAAAAATTAGCTGGGCATGGCGGCACACACCTGCAGTCCTAGAGCTGCCTGGGAGGCTGAGGTGGGAAAATCGCTTGAGCCCAGGAGTTGGAGGCTGTAGTAGCTAAGATCATGCCACTGCACTCCAGTTGGGGTGACAGAGTGAGATCTAGATATTACATTCTGTCCTGCTCCTGTTTCAACTAAAATCACTAAGTTAAAATGTTTTCATTCAGCAGGATAAAAATTAAGTGAAATTTGACTTTGGTTCTTTGCTAGCAAAAAATAAATAAATAAAGTGAAATGACAAATTACTTACTGGGAGAAAGTATTTGTAACCTCAATGACAGATAAAAGGTTTGTATCCTTAGCCTATAAAGAAATCTTTAAAATTACTCAGAAAAAAAAAGAATGATTTCCAGCAGAAAATGAGCAATGGATAAACCAGCACTTCCCACAAGAATAAAAATGGCCAATAAGCATATGAAAAAGATTCAAAAGCACTAGAAATCAAAGAAGTGTAAACAATGAGATTTTCTGCTGAAAGACCAGCAAAGATGACAAATGGAAGGGGAACCTGGAGCTCTGTCCCTGTTGGTGGGAGTACAAACTCAACCAATTTTCCTACAGGATCATTTGAACATTTCTTTTAAAAATCCTAAAACTGTTTTACATTATTTTCCTCTAGAAATTCTACTTCTATGAATTCAGTGCAAAATCCTTACTTGAGTCCATTAAAATATATATAGAAGGAAATTCACCTCTGGGGTGGCAATGATTTACTTAACATGCATCCAGTTATTAAAAATGATGATGCCAGGATATATTTCTGCCATAGAAACATGCTTAAAATATAGTAAGTGACAAAACACTGTATATTATGATTTTACTTTTTAAAATGTTTATATGCATAAAAAGTGTAAAAAGCAACAAACCAGAATGTTTTGAATGGCAAAATTAAAGATTTTTCTTTATATTTTGTCATCCAAATTGTTACAAAAAGAATGTGATTTCCTTTGTAATCAGGGAGAAGTGTTATTTTCATTTATTTATATTCACATTTCTTTTGTTTTTCTCTTTTTTCTCCTGTATGTACCCCATGTAGGCTAGAGAGCTTAAATCCCTGCCTCTTGAGGGAAATCAGTCCATTTTCAGGACGTGCAGTACACAAAGCTGCCACATCTTCCCTTCATTTTTTATTTTTATTCATTGATTGATTGATTGGATTGATTGATTTTGAGATGGAGTCTCACCCTGTTGCCCAGGCTGGAGTACAGTGGCGCATCTCAGCTCACTGCAACCTCCATCTCCCAAGTTCAAGCGATTCCCCTGCCTCAGCCTCCCGAGTAGCTGGGACTACAGGCATGCACCGCCATGCCCAGCTAATTTTTGTATTTTTAGTAGAGAGGGAGTTTCACCATCTTGGACAGACTGGTCTCAAACTCCTGACCTCAAGTGATCCATCTGCCTTGGCCTCCCAAAGTGCTGGGATTACAGGCATAAGTCACTGTGCCTGGCCTGTTATATTATTTCTAAAAATTTCAGTGACATTTCAATTAAATTTAATTTACTGACCTGATCCCTTATCCTCTGTTTAATGATAGCTTCCAGTTGAAAGGTGTTTCCTCTGTAATCACAGGCACTAAAGGAGATGCAACATGTATTCATTAGGTAGATATCCACTAAACCACTGATTCTCGCATTGTCGTCCTTAGACCCTCAGCATCAGCCACACGTGGGAACTTGTTAGACATGCAAATTCCTGGGCCAGCCCCACAACTCCTGAATCAGAAAGTGGGGAAGAGGGACAGCTATCTGTGCTTTAATAAGCCTTGAGATGCTCCCTGAAGTTTGAAAACTACAGAACTAGAATACATACGGTAGTAAGTGCTCATACTTTACCCAAGATACCTAGGGACCCTTCCCCTCTTTTCCATTCTCTTTTCCATTGAAATAAAATGAGAGCTCATTTTGACTTAATGGGTATAAGAAAGAAGGCAATGAGATGACCAGGGTTTCAAGTTAAGAGTTCAAAATTTAATCAGTGGACAGTGACAGGATGCAAACTCCTGAGCTCAAGTGCTGAGAGCTCCTAAGCTCCCAAAGTGCTGGGATTACAGGTGTGAACCACAGCTCCCGTCAGTTTTCCTAATCTCTTATCTTTATCTTTTGTAGTTGCACTTGCTTATGTGGTTATTAACTGTTAGTGTTAATTAACAGGGGTAACTGTAATACTGGACACTTTGTCTTATTCTTGATCTGAAAGGTATGTTTGTAGAATTTCACCCATCATGCATGATGGCAGCTTTTGGTTAGATGTATTTATAATCCACTAGGTATAAAAAAAAATTAGAAATAAATATTGAATTTTATCAAATGTCTTTCTAACATACATGGAGGGAACCGTGTATTTTCTCCTTGATGTCTTGCAACCAGGAATCATACCAGATCTTCTAACAGTAATTCAAAAGAATAAGGTTCACATGGTTTTGTGGCATAATTTTTCCACTGTGCTGTGTTTGCATCACTAGTCATGAATGAGAGACTGTGTTTTAATGCTACCTTTGTCACGTTTGGGTTTTCATGTTCTAATAGTTTAAAAAAAAAAAAAGTTTGAAAGTTCTACTTTATATGTGAAAATTGCAATAAATTATTTGTGATTTACTGAAAACTTCACTTGAAGGTCTGATATAATTTCAAAGCAAAACCAAACCTTTTTCTCTTTTTTGTGAGGGGAGGGTGGAAGGAATGGGATGGGAGGACACTAACTCATTGATACTATGTTGTTGTTTTTTTCCCCCCTTTAGAATTTATCTTCTAGGGACAATCTGACAATGATGCATTTAATTTAGATTCGCAGATTTTAAAAATAATTCTTTTGATATTCTTGGTATAGTGTATTTGCCTGCTCTCCAGCTTTGCTGCCCAGGCTGGAGTGCCATAGTCCAATCATAGCTCACTGCAGCCTTGAACTCCTGGACTCAAGCGATCATCCTCGATAAGCCTCTCGAGTAGCAAAGACTATCGGCTCACGCTACCAAACCCAGCTAATTTTTTAAATTTTTAGTGGAGACGGGGTTTCACCATGTTGCCCAGGCTGGTCTCGAACTCCTGGGCTCAAGCAATCCTCCCTCTTCAGCCTCCTAAAGTGCTGGGATTACAAGTGTGAGCTACTGTGCCTGGCACTATTCTCATTTTTATTACAATAAAATTTTAAGATTGGATAAATAATATAGCCAAATTATTGCAGCCAGACTACATCTACTAAAATTAAATGAAATTTCACTTGTCTGAAATCACGACATACTTTGGAAGATACGTTTGTCATGGTATTAATTAAAATTACAGCTATTTGGCACTCACCAAAATCTGTGAAGCACCTTAAAGACATAGGCTGTATCCTGCAGAGCAGTCAAAACAGTTACAAGAAGAGGCTCTCGGGACAGCTTTGTCAGGAGAGACATACTATACATATAAAGACATAAGGGAGAGAGAAAAGAAACAACTATTTTACACACGGGCCCCACATGGAAAGCTACAGGCCGGGTAATGCAAGCACTGGTTTTTGCAAATCAGATGCTTTCCATATGGCATCTCCATATAGTGTGCTTTTGCTTTAGAGACTAGCAGCAAGATTTTCCGTTTTCTATTTGTTTGTTTGTTTGTTTGAAGACAGGATCTTGCTCCACCGACCAGGCTGGAGAGCAGTGATGTGATCATAGCTCACTGCAGCATCGACCTCCTGGGCTCAAGTGATCCTCCCACCTCAGCCACCCGAGCCATGGACTACAGGCAAACACCACCACGCCCCACTAATTTTTGTATTTTTTGTAGAGACAAAGGTTCACTATGTTGTCCAGGCTGGTCTTGAACTCCTGAGCTCAACTGATCCTCCCGCTTCAGACTACCAAAGTGCTAGGATTACAGGCGTTAAGCCACCGCACCTGACCAAGATATTTGTTTTCAAAGGGTGGTTAATAGTTACAATAAGAAAAATAGGGAAGGCTGGGGCACAGTGGCTCATGCCTGTAACCTCAGCACTTCGGGAGGCCAAGGCAGGAGGATCACCTGAGGTCAGGAGTTCGAGACCAGCCTGGCCAACACAGTGAAACCCCATGGTCTTCTAAAAATACAAAAATTAGCCAGGCATGGTGGAATGCACCTTTAATCTCAGCTACTCAGGAGGCTGAGGCGAATCACTCGAACCCAGGGGGTGGAGGCTGCAGTGAGCCAAGATTGCGCCATTGCACTCTAGCCTGGGTGACAGAGGCTGGTGACTCCATCTCAAAAAAAAAAAAAAGACGAAAAATAATAGGGAAGATTTGTTAGTAGTCTGTGAGTTCCACAATCATGTCAAGCATATTAAAAATTCCTTAAATTCCTTTTTTTTTTTTTTTCAGAGTCTTGTTCTGGCTATCTTGAGAATATCTGATAGGAGAGAATCTAACTTCTTAAACGTATCTGAAAACCACAAGTACAAGCACATGATTGGGCAATTCTAGCTCACAATGTAAAGGATGGTTCAAAATACTCACATTTCAGAAATGCTTAGTTCTTCTGCTTCCTCTTCAGCAATTTCATCATCTTGTTTGAACCCAGCTCATCATCATGATCACTTGCTATGTCTTGATCACTTCCAACTGGATCAAAAAAATCTTTGTACCTCACATTTCTGGAACTTTCACCTGACTAAAATAAAAAGATTTTTAAAACTATTAATTAGGAATAGAAAAATACATCATTAACACATGCATATGTATTTGTATGTATACTGTATGTCTGCATTACTTTCTAACTTAATAACACTACAAGTCAAAAATAGTTACTAGGTGAAATTGGCAACTAAAAACACTACCATAAAACTATTATAAGAACAACTATAACATAAACTGAATGGAAGTACAGATTCATTTATAACCGATAAGATAGAGCATATTTCTTAGCTCTAAATCTTCTAACTACATCTCTCCTAGAAAAACAGAACAAAAGCTAATTTGAAGAGGAAAGTGCTCTCTCCTCTCTCAAAACTTTACCTTAAGTTTTTTTTGTTTTGTTTTGTTTTTACCTTGTTTTGTTTTGTTTTTACCTTAAGTTTTTTTACTTCCAAACAGTCCCCCTTCATCTTCACCAGAATCAATATCTTCAAAAAAAAAAATCAGTATCTTCCACCTCATCATCATTATCATCTTTTTGTTCCTCTTCTTTTTCTGTTTTCTAAATAGGCCTCCATTTCAGAGAGTTGGGAGAATTTCTCGTCTACCGTGGACTTTTCTCTTGGTTTTCCAAGTCCTTTGTTTTGCACCTTGCTCTGCTGTTCCAATTTGTTGATATCAAAGTCAAGGTCAGAATCCACATCACTGAAAACTGGGCTTTTCCTCAGTTCAAATTTGCTTGAGTTTTTAGCTTTCTTACCCACCTCAGGATTGTCACCACCCATATCTGACACTTCCTCTTTCTCCTCTAAATCTTCTAGGTCCTCCTGGCCACCAGCCTCTGTCTCTGAACCAGCCTCTTCACACTCCTGTTCTTCACTCTCTGGGAGAAGACTGATATCTTCATCTGCGTTTCACTAACTGCATTTTGGAAGTGTTGTAAAATTGGTTCATTTTGCATTTCCAGTTGTTGCAAAGTCTGCTCATCATCAAAACTTTCTATCACAAGTTTTTATAAAGGGCTTCCACGGATCCCACTATTCTCTAATTAATTTTATTAAAGTCATAAAGTACTTTTGTTAAAGAAGTGAACTTTGATGCCAGTCCATCTTGAATCCTATTGGGAGGAATTAAATGAGATTTAGAATTATAGGTAATAATTTCACAGCCCTCTTAATTAAAAGAAAAATAAAAACTCCAACTCTTCTGTGAAATCAAATTTGAATGAAGTGTAAGTATAGATGCTGGCCCCAACAACATATAAGCTGATGAGCCACAATGATCTTTAAAACCTGTCAACCAAGGATTTGTGAATCAGCTGTATAGATTTTAGGCAGGAAAAGAATTATAAATCGACTTGCTTGGAGATATATAGTGAATTAGCCTTAAATTATCAACTCAGCTACATTATACATCACTCCATTCATTCATTCATTCATTCCCTTATTTCTTCAGGGATCAACATTTGCTTTGGCTACAGTGGTCAAGGAAAACCTCTCTTAGATGTGACAGCTTAGATGAAACCTACACATAAGGATAGTCTTATATAGATTGGGTAACATGTATTCCAGGCAGAAGAAACAGCAAGAACAAATTCTCTAAGATGCAATTCAGTTTGGTAAGCCAAAGGAATAAAAAAAAATGAGCATGGCTAGAGTGTGATGGAGGCAGAAGGCGAAGCTGGAGAGACTGAAGGGAGCCAAATTCTGCAGGGCTCAAGGGTAAGAGTTTGCCATTTTAAGTGTAATAAGAAAACATGAGAAGATTTTAAGCAGAAGGACGAAATGATGATTTACACGAAGGAAGAAGAAAGGGAGGAAGGAGGAGGAGGAAAGTAGAGTGATTAGAAGGTTGATGCAGCATTCCAGGCAAAGGATGATGGTGATTTAAGCTGGAGTTAGAGCAGTGAATATGCTGAGTACAGTTTAGAGGTAGAACTGACAGGATTGCTAAGGAATTAGATACAGAATAAGAGAAAAATGAAGACATCAAAATAGCAGCCTAGTTTTATGTGTGAGCAACTGGAAAGACAGAACTGCCATTTACTGCGATAGGCAAGGCTTGAGTGGTGGAGCATGGGGAAAGGACTTCAGGGGATGGCAGAGTACAGGTGGGTAGAAACAACATTCTACTCTATTTTGGACACAGTGAATTTGCGATGCTGAGGGTACCAAAATTTTAAAAAGTGTTAAAAGCCTTACAGTGCGGATATCCCAGTTGTGTGCTACTGAATTCCAACTAAGCTCAGTCTGTAGTTGCTGTGAGCCAGGGACTCAAAGGAGAGGTTGGAGTTAAATGGGTCATAATTTTATAGATCATATTTGAAGTTCTTCAACAAAGTACGCATAAAACGCTTGTGCTGGGAAGAGACATGAAAGTTCTAATTCTCAAGAAGCTTAGTTGGGGTGGACAGACAAGTGACAAGTTTGTACTTTCAATAAAGTATGATGACAGTGAAACACTGGGTGCTTTAGGAGCACATAGGCGGAAGGAGAAACCAACACAGTTTGTGTGTAGGGGAATGGGGGCAGTAATAAGCCTCAAGGGGAGCTTCTAGGCGTTAATAACTGAGGTTACATTCATTTCAATAACATTCAACTGAGAGAGCCATACTGTAAAAATTTTTAACCATTTTGAAAATTTTGATAGCCTAGGAAACTATAAACTCTGAAATGTGGGGAAGAGTGGTTTACATTTCCCCTTACCTTCCCTTAGCTCCACAATTTGCCAGGAGTCTGCAACTCGCGTCCACGTGCGACCTCAGTCCCACCCGAGCTCGGGATCTGCGCACTTACGTGAGGATGCACTGGTGCCAGCCGGTGGCTTTGCCGACCTCTGTGAGACACTGCTCCAGGGTCTGTCAGCGCCAGGCCCGCGGGGCCACCATGGCTGTCTGCTACTCTGGACACAAGCTGCAAGTAAGACAAGAGAGCCGCTAGGAAACGCACAGCAAGGATGCGCCTAGCGCAACTTGGAGCTCAGAGTGGAAAGTTCTAGGGCTCGCAGGTTCCGGACTCACCCCCAGCGGGAGCCAATGGCAGCGCAAGCGCTTTCGCGTGTGCAGGGGGGCGGGAAACAAAAATTGCCACTGGTCAACTTAAGCGCCTTTGAACTGTCCCCAGACTTCGTTTTGTACTTTTCAGGTGCCCACAAGGGATGGCGCCTCCTGGCTTTAATTTCTGCTTTAGGTAAAGTGGGTGTGTTATATGCAGTAGGAAATCAGCGGCCTTTGCCACGCCCCCTGCCGGGTGGGGTCGCTCCGCCCCGCCCCTCCCCGCCCCGCCCCGCCCTGCCCTCCAGGGCGCAGCTGGCTGGGTCAGCCGCTACTGGGGTCGCAGTGGAGATGGCGGGCGTGCTGAAGGCTGCGGCCGCCGACGTCTCTAGGTGAATACCGGGAGCCAGTGAAGGTCGCTGTGGGTAGGGCACGTGGGAACGGAGGCCAGGGGGAGAAGGAGGCCTCAAGGTGGTCAAAGCACCTTGATGATGCATTCTGTCCCCCGGGGCGCGTTCCACGGCTGCTGCTGGCACCTAGGCAGAGGGTACCTTCCAGAAACACCTCAGCTTAGCTCGGGGATGGCCTCGTGCGTGAGTCCCACTGCCACTTGGGAGCTGTGCGCCCTGGGCGCTGCACCTTCCAGTATGTGGGCCGTTGAGGCGGGGGATCTTGCCCAGCGGGTCCGGCAGGGCAGGGACGGAAGTAAATGGAAGCCCGTAGGTAAGTGTTATTTTACCGGGCACCCATAAAGAGGCTGGGGAGAAACCAGAAAGGAGAGCAAGTCTTGTTAAAGAAAAAAAAATTCAGCTGAACTGCAAGCATGACCAGCATTCTGTTGGGAACACTCAAAGAAAGGTCAGTGTTGTGAGGAATACAGAAGGAGTTACTTTTCCACGTTCCCTAGTAAGTTTATCATCGCGTGCATAAATGGAAAGATAAAGCATGTGGATTTAGAAACTTACTTGATTTCTCTCTTCCTTCATTTTTTTAATTGTCTAGATAGAATAAGTTATGACAGAAACTAGAGTTTTCTGAGTCTCGCTTTCTTTTCATCCTTTTTTTCCTCTTTCTCCTTTTATGAGAGGCAAGTGTTTCCCTTAATCTGAGATTACGTGCCAAGTGGTAAAGGCCCAGAGTTACTCCGGGACATTCGTGATAAATCCTTCTAGCACCAGAGCCCACATTCTTAACCATGAGGCATACTCACTTCTTAGGTGATACACAAAATCGGAAGGTGAAAATATAAATAAAAAAATGAATATTCGGGAAAAGGTATTTTTATATCTGTATTTTTAGAACTGCACACTTTAATGATTGACGGTTTGGGAAGAGTATGACTTCCAACAGGCCATATACTTACTGCAAGAACTGAATGCAGATAAAGATGCATTTTTGTTTTGCAACTTACACTGCTTGGCATAAAGTAAAGGAAAAATGAAAATAGTGTATTCCAAAAACTGATTTTGATTTGTCCTGTTAAGTTACTTGAAACTTCATGGCTCCATTTGTGTGTGTGTGTGGTCGAATATATGTAAAGTAAAATTTAGCATTTTAACATTTTTGAGTGTATAATTCAGTGGCTTTAACTACACTCACTTTGTTGTGCAACAGTCACCACCACCCCTCTCCCGAGCTTTTTCATCTCACCAGAACTGAAACTCTGTTCCCATTACACAACACCTGCCCATTCTCCTCTGACCCAGCTCTTGGCAACCACTGTTCTACCTTCTCTGTGAATGTGACTACTCTAGGTGCCTCATATGTGGAATCATATACTGTTTTTCTTTTCTGTGTTTGGCTTGTTTCACTTAGCATAATGCCCTCAAGTTTCATCCATGTTGTAGCATGTGTCAGAATTTACTCTTTTCTTTTTTTCTTTTTTTGAGAATGAGTTTCACTTTTGTTGCCCAGGGTGGAGTGCACGATCCCAGCTCATCGCAAACTCTGCCTCCCTGGTTCAAGCAATTCTCCTGCCTCAGCCTCCCAAAGAGCTGGGATTACAGGCATGCACCAGCACACCTGGCTAATTTTGTATTTTTTGTGGAGACCGGGTTTCTCCATGTTGGTCAGGCTAGTCTTAAACTCCCGACCTCAGGTGATCCGCCTGCCTCAGCCTCCCAAGTTGCTGGGATTAGCAACCACGCCTTTTTTATTAACACTTTTGTTCTTAAGTATCTTATGCATTTATCCACACATGGTTGTACACTGTATTTTATTCATGCAAAGCAACCTTTATTGGAATAATTGGAATAATCACAAATTATACATTATGGTATTCAAAATAATGCAATTCTGCTGCACCACTCTGAAATGGGAGGCAGAGAGACCTAAAACTGAAGAGCTGTGAATTTCTACCAATTGAGGGCCAACCTGAAATAAAAATACCTTTAAAAAGTTAGCCTGATTGTCAGTAATCATTTCATAATTTATACATATATTAAAGCATACATTGCATACATTGTATTCATTGAAGATATATAATTTCTATGAGTCCTCATACCTCAAGCTGGAAAAATATTACTACAAGTCAAAGGAGAAAATATAATAATTAAAAGTTCAATTCACAACAAACTTTTCAGAACACATTTTTATCAGATATAAAGCTCTGTTTCATTTTAACTCCTTTTTTCAGGGTTCTCCATCCAGTTTGCTTGGTCTACACAGTTTCACCTTTGGATTTTTATTGTTGGATCATCTCTTCTTTTTTTCTTTCTTTCTTTTTTTTTTTTTGAGGTAAAATTTACATGACAAAATTAATCCTTTAAAAATGTACAATTTAACCGCAATGATCACATTCACTGGGTTTATGTGACCATCACCTTTGTCTATTTCAAAACATTTTCACTGGCCGAGTGCAGTGGCTCACGCCTCTGGTCCTAGCACTTTGGGAGGCAAAGAAAGGAGGATTGCTTGAGGCCAAGAGTTCAAGACAAGACCAACATGGCAAAACCTTGACTCTAAAAAAATACAAAAATTAGCCGGGCGTGGTGGTACATGCTTATAGTTCCAGCTACTCAGGAGGCTGAGGCCAGAGGATCACCTGAACCTGGGAGGTCACGGTTGCAGTGAGCCATTATCATGCCACTGCACTCCAGCCTGGGCGACAGAACAAGACTCCGTCTAAAAAAAAAAAAAAAGAAAGAAAAAAGATGTGTTTTATGTGATCTTTTATCTTGAAGACCAGGAAGAGTTTATCTTTAAATGTCCCATTTTACTTCATGTGCCCTTAAGTACACAATTGTAACTTACTCTTCACCTTTTTTTTTTTATCCTAGTACGTGGATAGTTATGTTGATATATTTGTTTTTCGCCATAGCAAGTTTTGATGTGCATTCTTGTCAATATTGTTTGGTTCAAAAATCTATAAAGGCTAATGATTTTACTAGCTTATGACTTAAAGTTTACTGTTTCAGGAGAATTTTCCCAAATACTCAGTTGACTCAAGTTTATTTCAGCATAAATTTCTTGCAACATGCTTTTAAATATTATCTCTTATTAGTTTATGCCATTGTTTTATTACTTTTTTCCTGGGACTCCAATTTTGTGAATAGTGCCTTTGCTTAACTTTGATTTCTACCACTTCTCTGTGACCTCTTTTTTCCTTATGTCATTTTCATTCTCCCGGTTGTTTTTCTACCTTTCTTCAATGCTAGTCGTTATTTTTTCATTTGAGTCTATTCTCTTTTGTGACCTCGTGGTTCTCTTTTTCTTTAGAAGGTAACTTTTTCTTTCTTTCATTTCTCTTCCAGCTTTAATTAACTATATTTTCATTTCCTTATGTTTTTGCCCATTTTTGTTCTTATTTTTTAGATATCAGGTCGTGACAGTACTTATTAGTTCAACTACACCAAGGTTTCTGAAGACAATGGTGTCTCCACCCAAGCAGGTTGTAAATAAATTCCAGATAGAATCTGACATCACCCTGGAGGAATTCTAACTTCACACTGTTGAGTGTGAAGTCAATACAACATCACAAATTTACCAAGGTGGCTTCAGAGTAAACCAGCTTTACCCAGCACATTTGAAAAAAAAGACACATTTATTCAGGGTCATGATCAGACTATTACATTTAGCAATCAACAGCATGAGTGCAAAAAAAAATCTACATTAAAACCCTTCGTTGGAATGTTTTACACTTTCCACATAATAGAAACTAAAATAACCTTTTTTACAATTAGTTGAAAATACAGTCCTCGAGTTTTTTGCCCATACACATAAGTATTTGTCTAAAACATGTTTTAATATGTCTTAACATGGACATAAAATATGTCTTAACATGGACATAAAACATGTCTTAACGTGGACAGCTTAACCTAAAAGCCTGAGTCAAAAGGTGAAAGTTACAGAAGACTCTGGGAGGGAAACGTGCAAAAATAGGTACAAAATGCCTTTTAACATAGGTCAGTGGGGAAAACAAGGGCTTAGGTAACAGGGCAGCTAATGGGCCTAGTGGATTAAAATGTTCACTTTATTCCTGAAACCCAGACTGGCTGCTGTAAGTTGATCTGGTGCCTTGGTCATTCGTGGCTTCTTTCTTCTATGTCAGCTCTGTCTTCTCTATGCTTCCTCTGGAGGAGGAAGCCTTGACACAATTACACATGGATTGTGTTGTTTTTTTTTTTTAACTTCTGAAATTCTATCTTAATTACTCAGCTGATTTGTGCTCCTTTTTAGAAAAGGGAAAATGGATTAGCATTTGATAAGCACCTACTGTTAGGTACTTCTAGAGACTTTATCACTTCCTATCTTTATTTCTTAGGGGAACTGTAAAAAGTAGTTAATTATTTCTGTTTTGAAGGTGAGGGAAAATTTAGAGATATTAAGTGCTCATGGTCACAAGATGTTAAGTTGTAATTAATAAGTAATTTGTGGGAAAATATTTTGAAGATATTTAAATTTCTTTTTATCAAAATTTTAACCACTACCTATAGCATTCCTATATAATGATTCCTATGTAAGCCAGTTATTACGATGAAGACTGAAAAATGGTGACTTTTAAAATACTATTCTTTCTACATTTGTAATTATTTCTTCTATGAGTAAGAACTTTCCCTTCTACTTCATTTATTTATTTTTTATATCGGTAGGCACTCATGGATCTTTATTTTATTCAATAGGTTATGACATGTTACTATTATTATTGATTTTAATGCTGAAATTACCCAGATTTCTTCCATAGGAGTCCATTCAAATTGGCTTCTATA